GGATTTTCTTTGCCACCACAAGTTCGCGATCAAGACGATTCGGATCACACGAGATGTCACATACACCGACTGGGACTTGCAGCTTCTGCTTTCTGCGTGTCCCCAGATACACGCTATCTATCTAGGTGATGCAGAATCGCACTCATTCGTCATTCAACTTGTAGGAGACTCTTCTCCGCGCAGAAAATCGCCTTTGCGCTACATACGCGACAGGTTCCGGGCAATTGTTCATTCGCAACAGACCGCATCCTCATTTTCTGCAGGCGGTGCGACTCTTCCTGCTGACATGTCCACCATAAGGACGATGGTCTGGACCCCAGTGTCGATAGGCTACGACAACGTCACCCCCTGGTTAGTTGCGCGGGGGTGTCGTCCCCGAAACATGACGCTCGTTTTCTCGCCTTGGCATTGGAATTTTGATACTTCTATCCACGAGACCCTCATTGCTGCAGGAACAGCGTTGGATCATCTTTCGCTATTTATCTATGATTTTTGCAAGATAACACCTGAATTCTCTCGCATTCCAGCAAACCCCAAAATATCGACGTTGTGTATTCGTTTGGTGAACAGCGACTCCTCCATTGGGTATTCCCGTGTCGCACCATTTGTCAATCTGCCTGCCCTATGCGAGGTACTCCAGAGTATTGGGACTAAGCATACCAAGCTGCAGCAGTTACTATTGGGCTTCGAGCTTGATCAGCCATGTCTGGATACCGACTGGTCGGAGACGGACGCCCTCCTTGCTCGCATTCTTATATTCCGCCCGCACCTTGCTGTCACAATCCGCGTTTCCCCTCATAGCAAGCGAAATGATGGACATGAGTGGATGGGGTCCTTCGTGAGAGCGATGCTCGACGGTCTGTCGCGTTCGCTGGCGACGGCAGGCCGTGTGACCCTGGTATGGGCCTTCCATCGTAGTCAGCTTCTTGACTCGTAATCTTGTAGGGGTGGGATCTAGGTGCTGGATGATATTAGAGTGTTCTCGGTGCATCTTTAGACAAGTTATTTTGTTGTTTCCGTTACTGATATGTCCCTTAGAGGAGTTTCAATAGAATATGTGGTTGCCCAAGTCCCTCTTGTACTTGGCTGCACGTGGGACTGTGACGTCACAAGGGTCTTGTCGAGTTCACCTTCCGCTTTGATCTGCCACCAGCTCTCTACCACATTAGCTTCGCAATGGACTCGGAGGATGAGAGAGAATACGATGAAGTGATGAGACGGAAACACTGGTTTCGTGAGCGTTGCTCAACTTTTTGTTCTCGACTCACGTCCATGTCCTTCGGCATTCCATCAATTAGCCCGGCAATCTACTGTGGAATTATGGCTTCATGAAAGGGAGGGGTCCAAGGCGAAGATACAGATGTCCCATGGGACTGAGGAGCTTAATGAAGGAGATGATTCCGATAACATTTGGCTCGATATATGTACTACCTGGCGAACCAGGCGCTTCTTTTCCACATTTCGCGGCTTCTACGAGGCGAATTTCCCGATTGCATTTGGAAAGTGATTTGCTGATGAAAGACTTATGAATAACTTGTCAGGGTTCCTTGGACCTTACTGGCCGCACCGAAAGACGCTGGAACTCGTTAAAACCCAGGATGACATCATCTCTGCAAGATCTTGACACGCTCAAGCGACATGCCACCAGAGTAACGTCAGTGATTGAAATCCCAATGCCTGGAAGAGATAGAGAGCCGTTTAAAGTTGACCAAGTCGAATACCGGTTCAATCCCGAATCATTGGCAATGGACATCATGAAGAAATACAGGATCAGCAGTAGTTCACTATTAGATGAGATATTCTCCTCAGCAGGTCAGTACATGATTGAATTTAAGCGGTATCCTGTAACTCTCATTTCGTGCGTAGAGGAGGTGAAAGAGCTACTTTCATCAAAATCACCGCCCATCTTTCAGGAACTATTCTTACTGGATCTTCCACCTGAGATAATCCACCGCATAATGGAGGTCGGAGAAGTTGAAGTTGCGCGTTTTCTTGGGGCCACTTGTCAAGCTTTGTATGATATATCACAGCCACACAAATACAAGGTCTGTCGTCAAAAAAAATGCATCTCGTCTGTACACTAAAAATGTATCGAAATCTCGCCCTAAAATTCGTGCCTGAATTGGGGAGCCTCGGTGTCGGTGCTGATGATAAAACTCGCAGAGAATATGCAGCAATATCTGCATTCGCATCTCCTTTCAATGCGGCAGGAGCTATTACAGGATTTCATGTTTCTCCTCTCCCGCACAGACATTATACGACGCATTAGGAACCTCTCGCTGGTTATTCAATGGAGTTCCAGCAAGTTGGCCATGGCAGGTCTTAACGCCGACAACCATGATGACGCTCATGTCACATTCTTCGCGCCCATCTGGAAAAGTTTTGAGTCCGTTCTAGCACATGCCTCAGACATTGTTGACTTGCACCTCTCCACGACTGTCTCTCGCCAGATGCTGTTGGCCATGGCAGCGATGACAGATCTTTGTACACTGAAGTTTGTGGATTGTCACTTGTCGACACGATCCCAGACTCGTTTGCCTCGACTGGCTTCCGTGATCAATGCTTCGTTCATGTTCACTTCCGACGACGACGACGATGCAGACATTATTCTACTCCTAGTCGCTTTGCTGCCCAATCTTCGCATTTTATATGTGAACGGAACGTCCAGGAAGCCTTTCCGAATGCATCACATTGGTTCCGAAACACGAGACAAATCCCCTCGACGAATTGAACGTATTCACCTAGCACATATCGCGCATGACCAACTACCTGTGCTGGGTCTCTGGATTCGCCGAATTGCCGAGGTTAACGGTGGACGATCTTGCCTCACACATTTCAAGTCACAGGTAGCTTCCGGATTAGACAGGGATGAATTGTTCGATTTGGTATCCGCCCTCCGGAGTTCCCCCATGGTCGCGCTGATTCTTGACGGCTTGGCCTATGTAGGACAGGATTGATTCGCCCGCGTATCTCGTGCCTTTCCGAACCTGCGCTCGCTGACGTTTTTCCGCCGCAAAAATATCCTACAACGGCGTTGTAGACCTAGTAGGAGGCCGGAGCCGTCCTGGAAGTATGCGACATATCTCTCCATTTTCACAAATTTGCAGCACTTCATGTGGAACCTTGACACCATGCCTGACTGTGTGTATAGTTCTCGCTTTCTCCTCCTCATGGAGAACGGGTATTCGACTGAAACTTGGTCGTCCGTATTCGAGTCTGCGGACGACGAATGTTTTGTCGAATGGGATTGTCTTGCTCGACCCTTCGCGGCTTACTGTGCAACGCTCCGATCTCTGAGTTCGCAATATCGGATGTAGCGGCGATCCATCACTCTTCCATCTCAAGGGATGACAAAGGAAAGGTTACGGTTGACGCCCTCAATATGAATGCCGAATGCTCGCTACCAACCCAACTATCTTTTCAGGTAACAGCCCGTGGGCGGTGGATGTATCGAGATCATAGCAACGGTGGAATGTTTACTTCTTTCAAGTCCTGAGGGCAGCTTCTACATCAGCAATAATCTTCGACCTGTAGCTTTTCTAAATGCCAGTCCTCGAGGCTCTCCTCATTGTCATCCTTCAAAGAAACGATCGACGATCGAATGTTTCTTGTGCAAAGTCTGAGCTGGGGTCAATCTGAGGGACATCGGTGTCTCAATATTCTGAAAATCATATTTTGTTAATAGTGGTTGATTGTTCATATTAATAGCAATGTCATAACTCTCCCTGACTTGGAGGGACTCGAGATCTGACCCCCGGCTCCGGCCACCAGTAATCCCACCCGTGTAGGCTGTCAAGAAGGTGCGTTGCGACGATTTGGGCCTCGCCTTACTTAATCAGTGAAGCTATGAAATGCTATGAAGCCCCGAGTCATCAACATGAAGGTACTGGGTACAGTAGGATGCGAAATAGACTTGTGCATTTGCCAATTTGTAAGCTTCGGGTAGACGGAAAGGCCGACATGAGGTATGATAGTGCGAGGGCAACCGCCTTAGTGAGCTTGATCTCTGGAAGACACATTAGAACGAAGGACTGGACACTACTGGTCCTGTAAGGGGCACACCCCTTTACAACCTTGCCAAAAGCCATGGAGAACGAAGGCCGGCAAGGATAGGAAGGGCAGCAGACGAGAGCATAGCTGGGGCATATTATTACATGTATAGGACTTGATGATAGGAGATTGTGTTCAACGGTTTGATAACAGTCCAGTCTCAGAATGCCAAGCCGGGAGATTACTAAATCGCAGCCGATCACTAGGGAGGGGAGGGATCGAGATAGCGGGGCTACCATTCCTCAGCAGATACAGCGCCGTGAACAGATCCGAGTCAAACAATATTAATAAAAGGTGGGCTAGAATCACAAGGATGTTGTCCGGCTACATGCGCCAAGAAACTAGGATTTTAGAAGACAGAAATCCAGTAACGGTGGTCAAAAAAATCCCGC